TGAACACACATTGACGTATGAACCAATTGTTAATTGACAAGTTCAGTTTCAAATATTCTTTTACATGTTTTCCACACATTTTCAATTACTGTGGAAATTTGATTAAATTGATAATAAACTCTAGTTTAGTTAAAAAGCTCTTTTCACCTTGATATTATTTTCAGAAATTTCTATGGATTTTGGCCTCATCGGACGATATATATCGCATTTGAATTAAGAGCGTTGAAAATATTCAACAATTTTGAAACGGTTGCATTCTATTATAAGAGATGAAAAACAAACTTGAAAACAACATTTCAAGCCAAGAGATCGAGTTACTGATTCCAGAGAACGAAGGCTTCACAACGTCATCAAAAACTTACCACTTAAGCCTTTAATCCTAAAGATCCGCTAGTGGTTAATAAGTTTCAGAATCAAGTTTCCGCACAGCCCCATACTATTGTAAAACAAATCTGTTTTCCCAATGGCAATGTATTATTTTTGTCATTGTTTTCTCTGTTCAAGAATTGAATGCATAATGTAGGATGCGGCTGTGTGGAAATTTTACCTAATATTGATTTACAATCCTCTCACATAAAAAATATATGACCTCTGTACTTTAAATTACCTCAGTGGATGTTTCACCGATGCATCCAATTTTCTAATTTCTTCCAGAGTAAAACTACTGACGGGACCACTTCCATTCGTAGTCCTATCAACGGTAGCATCATGAATAACAACAGCCCTACTGTCTTTCGTGAAATCAACGTCAAACTCCACACCAATAGCTCCATTTTCTTTCGCCGATCGAAAAGCAGCCAAGGTATTTTCAGGAGCTTCTGCCGATCCTCCTCTGTGCGCGATTAACTCTGGTGATTTGTCCGATAGGCCTCCTCGCAGAAAAGACTTGACGAGTTCAGGGTCAGGCTTCAGTAGACGAAATTTTCGGTAAAGGATCAGTAAAATTGCTGGAATGAAAATTATTAACAGAAACGCCATAATTATGATAGACCAATGTTCAACCCTCGCTCCTAGCGGTCAGTGGTAATGCAACAGAGACCAGTTTAGCTGGTTCGTCCAGTAAAGTCAACGTAGTCTTTTTTTTCCCGCGTGGTCACGACTCGCACACGCGCATTACAGCGCGATCACGTTTGAAAAATTTAGTATCGTGCAATAAATGATCATAAACATGTGTTATTGACCAAGTGTGTGATCAAGATGGCTGGATATTAGCCGAGTTCTTTTTTTGCGTTTTTATGGACGAAAGTCAAGGTTCATCAATTCAACAATTTTCATTCATTTCATTTATCATTTCATTCATCATTTCATTCATTCGGTTCATTCAATCAATATCCAGCCATTTTGAATGAACAACCTTTGTCAATAAAGGATTTATTGTATAACAAGAAGATATCGCTTTAATAAGAATCAAGAAAGAAATTTTTTTTATTTCGTGAGCCGAGAAAGAAAGCCAACTTTGTTGGTAGCATAATGACCCCATTTTTATTAGTTCCAAAGTACAACAAGTTTAACGGGAGTTGGAGTCGCAAAAGGTCAGAAAACGCTGCTGACAATACTCTATTCCAGCTACTGTGAAAAGAAACGGAATGCGGAGATCAAAATAGTTTCATTTTGTGTCCTCATCATTTTCTCTTCCTCTGTCTCGCGCTTCCTTGCGGTGCGCTTACTTGCCTCTTATTATGTACTTTATGTAGTGGTGAAGGAATTATCGACGTCTCGTCTATGTGCATAAAATATTAGCTGTGTTTGGTTTTGTTTAAACCACATTGAAGTAACGTCACCTAATGTTAATCATGATTCATTCTCGCACATTAATTAATATTTTACGGGGCAAATACAACGAGAAATCGGATAAATTAGTGAAATTCTTTCAACTGAGAAACGTGCATGAAATGAGCAGCAATATTTCAACATTCTTTCCCAGGCCCCACTATGTTTGTAATGATCGTGGAAATGGCTCTTACTGCAGTGTCATACGGCCTACACATTTATTTTGCAATACTTCTCATTTTTCTCAGTGTTATGATGTTTATTCTCTACCGTTTGCTTCGGTTTCCTCGTCCTACGCCGTACACGGTGAGCTGTTTTCTCCGAAGAGGGGCGCTGAGTAGAAGTTCACCCGTGATCATCGGTCATAGAGGCTGTAGTTTGGAAGCGCCAGAAAACACTTTGGCGGCATTCAAATTAGCGAAAGAAAACGGAGCTCAAGGAGTGGAATTTGACTTGGACTTTACGAAAGATGGCGTACCAGTAATAATTCATGATTCAACCGTAGACCGCACAACAGATGGACACGGTAAAGTCCGCGACTTTACTTACGAAGAAATTAGAAGACTGAACGCCTCAGCAAAACACCCCAATAGGTAAGAGAAGCTTATATCCTTGACAATGCCAAAAATAAGAAAAATATTAGGTAGAAAGTTTTCCCTTTTAAACTCGTGACACGAAAAATTCTGTGTAGAAAAAAACGTGTTTTTTTTGTTAAATTCTTGCGTGAAACATTATCATGACTCCCCCCGTTTGTTACTACTACTGTGATGGGCTGATCAATTCAAAGCTTCTAAATCCCTTCCCCCCCGGCAACTCATGGGCATTTGACTGGTGTCTGTGCATAGAGAATAGGGAATTTGACAAAAGTTGGGGGGGGATTTGAACCTTGCCAGAGTGGGGTGGGGAATTTGAACTGGAAGTGTCAAGTATTTCCAGTTGAATACACATGTTTATTTTTTGATGTGGTGGAGTCAAAGGTGAAGAGTTTACTTTCCCAATTTTCATGACATAGAATGATGCTTGCAAGCAGAAAACCCAACAGCAGTGTCAAAAACTAATTTACATGCTGCTTTTTTTTTTCTCTCACCATTTTTTAAAACATTTGGTTCTTCAGGAGGAACCTTTGACTGATAAATGCAGCCATTTAATAGAGCATTTCAATGCAATGGTGGTCCTGCAGTTGGGGAGGGGGGCAGGAATTTGGATGAACCAATCCATAAAAGTTCAAATGCCTGGGGGATGGCCCGGGGGGAGGGGGGGGGAAGGGAAGAAGACTAAATAAAAGTGCTTTTGGTGTGGAGGCATTAACAAGCTGCATATAATGAAAACTTGGGTGAGCTAACAGTGTCTCTCTCATAACTGCAATGCATGTGCCACTTCTTTTTTTCTGCAAAAAATTTTACTGAATAGATAGCACATTGAAAAGTATCAGTAGGTTTCTTCAAGAAGATCATTTGACTTAAAAGCCAAATTTACCATTTCTTATCAAGCTTTTTCATTGGATAATGATGCAACATGACATGAAACATGACAATATTTTTGTAGGGAAAAATTTCCAGATGAGCGTATCCCATACCTTCAAGAAGTTGTAGATCTCTGTGTGAACCTTGGTTTACAAATGTATATTGATGTGAAAGCAGCATCACAAGCTGGAAAAGTATGTTGCCAAAATGTTACACTTGTATGTGTTGTGGTTCAAATGTTTCTTTGGTTTAAAATGTTCAAATTTTGTATTCTTTTGCTGCAGAGTTTCATAATGGATGTGAGACAGAGGAAAAATAAAAAAAGATCTAGTTTTACTATTGTTAGTGAATGAGTCTTTGTTTCAATTACAATTTTTTATTTTCCTATACCAGGCGGCAAGTGTCCTCAAAAACTTATTTGCAAGTCACCAGCTGTATGACAAAGCTATAGTTTGCTCATTCTATCCAAATGTAATTTTTCAGGTAAGAAGTTAAACATAGACATATTATACTACGGAAACACACTGATCCATGGGAAGAGAGCTGTACATATTGATACAGCTTCCTTAACAAAAAACTCTTCCTTATAAGAGACAAACTTTTTGTGTTTTATGCACATTTCTCCATGACTGGAATTACTTGGAAATGGTTCGAGGCAATTCCAGCCATGGAGAAATTTTTTTCTTCCACTGACCTAATTCAGACACATGAAATGCACAACTTCTTAATAAATACAATTACTTAACATCACCATATCTACAGAGATTGATTTGATTTTTTTTTTTGTTTTTTTTTTTTCAGTGATCTTGAGTATTTAAGGTCCACACCAAAATCCACTGTTAAGGGCCTATCATCAAGCAAATCAACTTTCTATAAAATTAGCTCTGTCTTCCTTCTTTGGAAATTAATCCTGTGCCACATTATTTCTCTTTGCTGCCATTAGGTACGCCGAGCTGATCCAAATATTCTCACAGCCCTCACATGGCGGAAAATGTTTATATCCCTTACAGATTATTGTGGTCCATGTAGATACAAGGAGTGGTGGAAGCAACTGTTGGCCCCTCTGCTGGACAGAATATGGGAGCTTCATCTTCACTCCTGGGTTTATGACATACTGGGAGTGTCTGTCTTTCTGTCTCATACAGCGCATTTCTCAAGGTATGGTTACCCTCATTTGTTAGGCAGGAATAGTCAGATCATATGAACAAAGATATGGATAAATGAGTAAAATGAGTAAATGTTTTCATAAGACAGCTAAAATCTAGCATAGTCCTGAATGAAGTTTTTCACTAAATGTCATGTTTCAAACTTTCAAGTTATTAAAGTCGAAAGTTCAAAACTTTTATCTTGTTACAGTGCCACTACTGTTACCAGGTTCACTTGTAAACAAATATAACTAATTGAATTTTAAGAAACAAGCCATGAATTGAATTTAACTACATTTAATGGGGCAAATCAATGTGGGCTTTGAAGCATGAAGTGGCAGTGTAGTAAAAAGGGGCATCAAAGTCACAACAGTTTTCAGATGGAAAATAGTATCTTTGTGTCTTTTCTGTTGTCTTGTTTCAAAAAACACACAAAACCATCAGATACTCAGGCTAGACCACAGCACACCAAGCTGACAAAGAATTATGATGGACTTGATTCCTGTAACCAGATCAATCAGTTTTGTACAAGTGTAGCAGTAATTGCACAAGGTCCAGTTGTATAAAGGCCAGATATCACTATCCAGTGGATAAATCCCTATCCAGCAGATGAGTGTCAACTAAACATACTGTGCTATCCACTGGGTAGAGGTTTATCCAGTGGATAGCATTATCCACTGTTCAAACAATCAGGGCCTTGAATTTAAGGATACTTTTTGCAAAAGACAAATTTTTATTTGATACTCCTGTTTGTGTCAGGAGTGCATGGTTTTGTGGTAAAGTGTATATGCAGCCACCATCTGTTTTTCTTGTTGTGCTTTTCTTTCCTCAACATTATCATTATAAATTGTGAAAGTGTTTTAATGCATTTTGTTGATGCTGTTGTTTATGTGGTAGTTGCAATACTGTTATATTCTTTCCTGCAGAGAATACCAAAGAGAATGGCAAAACAATGGAGTGAGTGTAGTTCTTTGGACAGTTAATGATCCTGCAGAGAAGGACTACTTTGGCAGAGTTCTAAAGTGCCCAATCATGACAGACTGTGTGGGGAGCAGTTCACAGCAGAGTGCTCCATAAATACCTGATTTATACTTAAATGTTTCAACTGAATGATTGAATTTTTACTTTTAACCCTTAAACTACAAAGGTCTGATCGTTACTTTTCCCCTCTAGTTACCATATATTTCCTTTTAAACTAGTTATGATGACTTCTACCTGATAATTTTGGGTATTCTCGTTAGCTGTTTGCTGGATTATGTATGAATATTATAGGGAGAAGTTAAATGTTAATCTCTTCAGGGAGTTGAAGAGTTAAAAGCAACCTCTCTTTATGGTAGAATCTAAGCGTTAACACAACCTTTCAATGGAAACAAAAACAATTTGAGATGCTGGGAAGTTTGAGGTCACTTAAATTTTTAGAAAATGGCTTCAGGTTCTTCTTCAGTGGAAGTTTGAGTTAGTAAGGTCCTTTTTTATTTCCTGAGTTCTTTTTGAGGATGCACTGAAACTTGATTATGTAAATGGAAAGGATTAGGCCTTCTGATGCTTTCAACCTGCTTCTTTTCATGTTTGCTTTTTATTTGATTTTCAAATGTGTGAAGACTTAGAAGAGTTTACTTCATATTCATGGTCAATTGGAGAACAGGGGGTGGGGAGAGTAGAATTGATAGCAGAGGGGTGAAATCACACCCACTTTGGGGATACAGACTCTGGGATGGGTGTGTGAGTCATAGAAAAGCCTGCAAGGGAAGAAATGCATCATTTAACCCTCTACACCCTAAAACCAGAATGCATATTCTCCTAATTGTTCTCTAACCATTTTCTAAAGTGCTGATAAGAAGAATTTGTTTAACAATCAAGAGCTTCTTTAGTTGGTGATCATTTCCTTTATTCTCATGACCTTACTGTGTGATTGAGGTGTGATATTGTAAGGAGAAATTAGATGCTAATCACTCCTAGGGGTCAAAGGGTTAAATTAATACAAGGAAGCAAGACTGGGTGTGATTTATTTAAGAAGTGATTTAAAGCAAGTTAAAGATTTCATCACTGTTATTGCAGCGATGAAACATTATTTATTGTACTTCTAAGACTGCTAATTGCCTTAGCAAGGGTATTCATCTGTTGCCACAAGGCTGGTCACAATTCATATATCTAAAGTATTTAACAGGGTTCCTAACCCAATATTTTTTTAAAGTCGCCATTTGCCAACTGTCAATTATTAATTGGTTGCAAAAAGTGTAATCTGCCTGCTGGCAATTTTTTTGAGATTTGCCGAACATTTAAACACTTAACACTTAAACTGGGTCACCCACAGAGGAGGTAAATTTTGTAAAAGAAATGGTTACATGTACGTCACAAGTACCTTAATACACACAGAAGTGGGTGTTATTTTGAAGTTAGTGGAGCAAAGTTGTTAAGAAATGGGATTTTTGGGAAGGTTTTTTTTTGACAGGTAGTGTCCTTTGAGCGGCAATTTTCAGCTGAAATTGCTCCCCCTATGCAGCATAGGATATGCCAGTAAAACATAAGTCAGTTTATATGATATGAATCAAACATTGGTTCACATGTAAGTTAAGGGTGGCTCTTATTTGTGTTCTTAACAGAATGTATTTTGATTTTTGGGGGAATTTTGATAAATGATATTTAAAATTATTTAATTATTTATTTCAAACAAATGTAAGATGAATTTTTCTTCTTTTTTTGCAATAAAGTTACTTAAACTAAACTCTTAAGCCTTATAGAATGAATGGTATCAACCTTACCTGACCTAACTCCAGATTCTGATTGTTTAAAAAGTGGTTTCATTTAGCAACTTAATAAATCGCCATTTATCGGGCGGCGCTATCCAGCTTTGACCATCTGGAGTCAGGTTCAAAACGGACCCCTCCCACGTTAAGAATTCGTGGACCAAGGGGAGGGGATAGAAAGGAGAAGCAAAGGATATGACGTACTAGTGTTTTATTGCTTCAGTTGGTAAAAAATATATTTAGGAAAATCTTTACGGTATACCGCTATTAGTTGGATACCGGTCATGCAATGAATACTGTACACATTTTTGAAATAAGCTGATGCAGGGAGAAACTCTTTTACGCGGCGGAATGACCTTGTGATTTGATATGAATGAATGAAAGCGTGCGAAAACGTACCAACAGAAGCGCACCGATATGCTTACATTCGGCGACACGCAGTCATTTGAGTTAATCGCTTTACGAAAACAGGTTGAGTTGCAGTCGAAACGTCGCGATCGTAAGTTGATACTTATTCTGTATCCTAAGTAGCCTGTGTGGCAGACGTTTTTATGTGCGCTTTACGGTTTTGCAGGGGATGAGTGGCGAAGCCGCGACCTGTCCCAAGCCTCTTGCGGCTTCGCAGCCCATCGCATTCAGCGCGCCCAAACCGCTAGTTAAGTCAAGTAATTTAGTGTCATCAACTGAGTTGATAACGTAAATTGGCCATCGTAAAGAGTTTACAAGCTGACGTTTCGAACGTTAGCCTCGAATAGATGGGCTTTCACTCATTGGCCACTTTTACGGTGGCCAATTTACCTTATCAACTCAGTTGATAACACTAAATTACCTTGTTATACTCTCCCACCGACGTAACACCACAGTTTCTTTAGAAACTTGCCCCCTTTATCCGCTAGTTACTAAGGCTATATATATCACAAGAAAAACGTGTCAACGTTCTTTTCGGGAGGCGACACGAATTATTCACTCAATTAAAAGTTAAATGCCCAAGGCTAATTTCAAAACCCTAACTCTTTAATCTAACCGTTATTGAGTCCTAGAGATTTTCTTTTAATTTCATAACTCTGAACGGTGCAAAACCATAATAGAGTCGCAGTAACTTTTGGTGAGACCGTGGGAGGTGTATTCTTCCGTATGCGAAGCGACACCGGGCGAAACGGTCGCTTGGCAAAACGACCAGCTACTCCTATCTCCATAAACCACGATGAACAAGAAAGATGTCATTGATAGAAAAACCCTAGGCAAAAAAATTACCAAAATTACCATAAACCTGCGAGATTAATTATAAAGGAAAGTGCATAACAAAGCCCCAGCCATATTGAACCTACAATGACATTCTTACAAATAATTCCCATATTCTTGGGAAATATGTAAGTGTTGAAAAACAAGGTCTGATGAAAGAGGACATACGACACAGCCACATAAATCACACTCGCCAGCATGAAGTTCAACATGGGATAACTCGGGATGTATATCAGCAGTTGTTGTGCATTGCCGATCATGTAGATGTGAATCTGAGACAGATACGTCTCCAGGGTGACTTTACCGAGCCAACTAAACAAGCCCAGGTAATGCGAGCGGAGGACTGGGTGCAAGTTTCTGAACCACAAGTAGATGACAATTACAATCCACGAGGTGAAAGGGTGAATGGTCATGTAGTATTGTCTTTCCTGCATCAAAACGAAATGAAACCATAACAACAGCACGCCAAACAACGCTAAAGTGATCCACACTTTAAGAAGCAAGGCCAAGTGGTCCCCTCGGCGATTTTCGTGCTTTTTTTCCAAGTATTTAAGGAACTGTTCAATGTACGGGTAGTTATACGCGCACAGCATTCCCACCCATGTGACACAGTGGTCCAATCTGAAAGAGGGCATGGTGCTTTAGATAGTTTGGTATCCTTAATTTTAGGAGTGGAATATCAATAAGAAATTTGGATTGCTCTTTGTTCACTAAAAAAACGTTTTCACGCAACAGGTTCGTTGCGTAAACGAAAGGATTCGAATCAAAGAGTTCTTCTCTTACAAGACTATTTTGTATTAGTCTTCACCGTCCTTAAGCAATTGCGCAAAACCCTTTGGAAAAGAGATGTACGTTTAATCGGCCAAAACAACCTCAACACGGTGATACGAGGCTTCAAGGTCAATTTAACAACATCAACAGTAGAAGGAGGATAAGAGGATATCTTACCAGCCCGATTTTATTAGCGTAGTGGTTCGAGCGAGGAAGCGCGCAAGATGCTGGGATCTCCGCAGACCTCTGGCACTTCCGCGTCGCTCGCCAGTTCGAAGCTTGCAGGCTTCGCCGCTTTTATTACATCGCTAATCAGAAACAAGGAACACGTCTCTAGAGATATGTACTTACGTGGAGCGATACACCCAGTATCTCAGAGTGCCTTTGACATTTAAGATAAACTGGAAAGGCCAGAACACTATGTACGAAGCCCCGGGTATATCGAATATCAATAAGTTTATAACCAGGTAGATTGCAAATTTAGCTGCCATGAAGTAACGATTCTGTGACGAAAAACAGCGTAGGATCAGTGCTCAATCAAAATCGTGATGAGATCAGGCATGTTGTTATGTTCATAATTCTTCATAATATCATTACATCTATATTCACGAGTACTACCAAATTCACTCCGTACATACTAAAGCAGTGGATAGCGTTGAAGGCGCGCTCCACTCCGAACATCCTTCGCTATTCACCTCCGAGCAACTCGCGCGGGATTTGTGCCGGAAAATAATATAATCGTTGCAGGTCTAGTGAGTGAAAATCATCTTTTTGTGTTATATTATCCCACTGTCTTAGTATTTATTAAAACAGCTATTCACCTCAGTGTCGTTGGCTAGCAGTGGATATTTATATCGCCGCTTCTCGGCTGGGTAAATATCCACCACTAGCGACCTCCACTGAGGTGAATAGTTTTTAATTATCTGGCTGAGTATCGGTCCGTATTTAACTCACGAGAAAGGAGTTTTTACTCAATTTCAATGGAGAGGAATACAATGATGGATCGCAACTCTTGTCCATATATGGCCTCTGTCGTTTGCAACCTCAGCTACTCACCTTATTGTAAGACTTGAACACTGCCATCATGACGTAAACTGTGATGAACCAATAGGTGTGCATGGCACACACGTAATAGCGGACGAACTCGTTGTTGGTGACAGCCATCACCATGAAAACCAAAAAGTTGAGACGAAACATCATCCTCAACAAGCGGAACAGAGAGTAGTCCTTCTTTATCCAGAAATACGAGAAATTACCTGAGGTCAAAAGAAAATATAAATCTATTCCTATAAGAAATATGGTGAAGAGCTCGGAAATAAGACAGTCAAAAAAGAGAAAGATTCTTTTTTACCAAATCCTGTCATCCATACGTAGGCAGCAATGTAACATCTTATGGAATTGAACACTTCTTGAGCATCAAAATAGTGATACCACACAAACTGCACCTGTAACCACGACATGTACAACAAAATATGTGATTAACCGCAATCATTTCTCTGCGGTGTTCTTTTGATGCGGCTCGGAATCAGAATCGTGTCCTCTAATTAAAACCCGCTAGCCGGGTTCAGTATGTTTTCTTCTAGGTAAAGTCGGCAATTTATAGGATACAATGACAAGACTAGACAAGACAAGACAAGACCGTTTTCAGCGAGGAGTTAGAATCAGTTCTGGGAAAGCAAAAAAAAATATCAGGGTGTAGCGTATTGCATAGACCTCCGCTTGCTTTGCAGTTTCAGCTTAGGCTTTCATTTACCTATGTCGTTGTTTTTAGCATCAGCCAAACTGACACTCGTTTATACTCATTTCTCGCGCGCCAATTAAAAGTTTTCATCGAGGCAATACACACAGTGCGTCTGGAAAGGATTTCATGATGGCAAGATTCACTGACCTGCATCCATCCTTTCCACTCTTCTGTTTGATCTCTGTTGACAAGTTTTTCAGGTGTTTTTCGAATAGTGTAAACGAAGGCGACGATGACTAGAAGGGCGAACAAAAACGTGAACATGTCTCTGGAATACTGCTTTTGAGTCTTTGGCCTGAAAGGATAAACAAATTTAAAGGTTTCCAATGTTTATTTCCCTGGGAAACGGGCTACTCTCAGTATAAAACAAAAATGGCAAGTAATACCTTTAAAGTAGTGCTGACCCACTTTTTGCCCACATTGATCATCTGATCTTAGAATCGTAAATGTAACCATTGGCTCTCGGCCTAGGAGCTGTTACTGAGAAGGCCCTTTTTTTTAAAATCTGTTTAGTTTGGCTAACAGTGTAGCCTAATGTTTACGTTTTAACCATGCGAACTAGTCACGTCATCAGGTCAAGTAGTAAATCGCTAGTGTTTTCTTTCTTCCTGTTTATTCGTTTGTTTTGTTTTCGTTGTATCATGATTTATTTTCCGCAATTGTTGCTCGCAGTAAGACCGAATTCAAACCCCGATGAAATAGTAAATGCCACTAACTGCTGTTGACATTCAAACAAATGTCACTTCCTTATTACAGAACAAACGTAGCTTGCATTTACGCAATGAATCTGGAGTCGTTTGTGACGCTCGTGAAAATCCAACTACTGTACTAATGAACACTTGAAGAACCTGTGGTAGGGAAAAATGTAAACAATTTTATCCATCTCCAGTTCCCTTACCAGATATGTTGATAGTCGCACAGCCAGAAATAAAGCATAATCACTCCAAAAATCACAGCTTTTGATAAAAAATCTTCGAAAGATGGCTGATCCGGGTCTGTCTCTAGAAGTTTCTCAAATATTCCTCGGTTGCTTTGCCCCGCCTCTGTTGCGTCGCCGCGGCCAAATCGTGATACTGAGGCTAAAACGAGAATTAAAGTCGACTTCAAATGACCCACAGTTAGCTCGATTCATACGACGTGGGATTTTTTTTTACTTTGCCTGTGATTTAATAACCTGTATATTGTAAGCAGAGGGTATTAAAAAAGTTGAAATGTTCCTCCTGGGGTAAGGGCTATCCACCAAAGTACTTTAAAGGGTAGGTCTCGCTTAACAAGGTCATCATTTTGTCGACTTATCATTTCCCAGTCTTTTATCGCCGTGCGCGCGGTACGGAATTACGGGGAGGAAGAGGGGATGGGGGGAAAGAGGGCGAGACCTCCTTTCCCTCTTGTCTACCCATAACACACGCCCCTAGGCTGCCCGTATTATGGCGGTGATTCGGGAGAGGCAGATGTTGCCACTCCCGCGATAGACCGCTGAAAGCTTTTGAAAGCGATAATGATATTTGGGATGCATGTTATCATCGTTCTCTGTACGTAGGCGACCGCAAAAATGATTTCCCCTATCCTACTGCTTTTTTCTTTTCGTAGCTGCACTGCTCAAAAAACCCTCGATGCCAGCTACGCAACTGCAACCTCGTTCCCAGTGTCCACGCTCTTCCTCCCTCGAGGGAGGAAGAGAGAGGACCCTGGGAACAAGAATCCTCTTTTAGTTCCCAGTGTCCACTCTCTTCTTCCCTCGCAATTTCCACCACTAAAGCAAACATTATCTAAACTGAAGACTCCAGCGTCATTGTACTTACGTGATTTGGAAACTGGATACAATGATATCAAGACATTTTCCTTCGCTAAAAACACGAGAAACAAATCGTAAGTTACTATCTAGTTTCATCTAAATCGCTCAACAATAGAGTTCTAAAGCGTGACTTCACGTTACCATGGCGCTGAAATATTCAATTCTAAACAATACGGATTATCTCTTGCGCGTGGGTCAATTAGCCATTGTGTTGAGGTCAATACATGTCAAGAATATAAGATTTGAGGGAAAGGAGGTACATAATCACTGTCTAATAGATTACGAGGGCATCGGTTCAAATTTAAAACAAGTGACAGGGAGCATTGAGGAAGAACGAATTTTTCCAATTGAAACACAGAACTGAACTTACTAATAGTGTTTTTTAATTGTCACGTGGTGAAGTTGCGGATGCTAGTGAAAGTTGCGTGACATATTTGGACGAAAAGTAACGCAACCCTTTAGCTTAGTTTCCTAGCGTAACCATTTCACTGCGGTATGCTAATGAAAAGGTTTTTACATTAAATCATGTGGTATTTTCAGCTACCCTTTTCGTCTCCCTCTGCCTCTTTATCTTCCTCTTCATTAGCTTTTCTCTTGTCTCGCCACTTCAGAATGTAACGCTTGGTTTTAAGCATAACCCACAGAAAGATGATGGATAACCAGAGACAGAACAGTGCCTTTTGATGGATAGTTATCGGGCGCGTCGGTTCGACCCTAAGAAAAAGAGGAATTCCAATTGACATCAAGTTCCGAACGTGAACATCTTTTATGTTTCATTCTCAGTCACCTCTAAAGACGCCTATAACTTTGATCTCAGCCTAACTCAAAGGACACATTTTTCGCAATTTTTCACGCTGATCGGGGTGATATGGTATTGCAACCTCGTACCCAGGTTCTTAGAAACTGCAGCCTGCTAGCCTGGATTTCTCACTAAGTTTAAGCTTACCTTCCAAACGTTTGTATGGAGTTTAGGTAAATGTTGTGCTCTTCGTAATGAACAGCAGCGCTATCCTTGTAGATAGCTCCACCCATTCTTGCAAATTTCCTGTTGCTAAGAGTGGCGAAAAGGAATTTTTATTAGCATTATAACACTTTGATTTAACTCAGGAATCACCTCCAACTTCGTGCACACTTTTAATTTTTTAGTCGAGCAATGGTAAGGCACTGGGAACCATACTCTAACACTCGTTACGAGCGTAGTCGGTACTATGATATATAGTGAGCTTGGTTACCGTCTTTTCCGAGACAAGAAGCTGCATCGGTGCTACGCTTGCTGTTGTCCATTTCGCAGCCTTTGTTTGGTCTAGTCACACAACGTCCTCTATTTCCCGTTTGAGAGAAAGCGCGTTGCGTGACGAGACCAAATAACGGTTGCGAGCGGACTACGCATACTGCCGTTCCTCCAACAGAGAGAAAATCAAAATTACTCGTCTACAATTAGTTACCTCAAAAATATAATTCCGCATAATTTTGCTACGAAAAGCATACTGAAACTCTGTTGTACCTCTAGCAGACCCTAACTAACGATATATTGCGATCTCGTATGAGTGAAGGTACATAAATCAAGAAGAAAGGATAATATTTCAAAGAGGGCTCCTAATTCATTGGTTAATGTCGACCTGGACCTTGCCTTGTGTCTGTGAAATTTACACGCAATTGGGTTGAGCCCAAAGTAGCTTAAAGCGACTTTAATTCGTAGAAGAAGTAAAACGCGGGAGAAATGCGTGGAAAACTCAACATTAGTAGCATTTAGTTCTCAAATGTGTCCAAAATTTCTGTTTAATGTCATTCTTTGTTTACAGCCCCGTGATCCATGACATTATTTACAAGAAAACAATACCCTAACACTGTGATTGGTACAGGATATTCAAATGCTATGTTTGTGCAAGATACAAACCCTATTACAGCAATCTGATTGGTGCAAGATACATACCTAAATGCGGCGATCTGATTGGTGCGAGATACATACCCTAATGCTGCTATCTGATTGGTGCGAGCAACGTACCGCTCTATACGCTGACATGAAGTTGTTTTTTTCGGTAAAAAAAATAACTGAAAAAGCACTATTAATTTCATATTGTCTTACTTTCGTGAAATTTACTGAGCATTTTAATTTTAAAGAAATAAAAAAGAAAGATTAAAATTGCACAGACACCGTCGTTGTTTGGGGCCATGACCAAAGGCAACGTTGGTAGTTTAGGATTGTTACCGTGACCTCATAATCTTCATCGTATTAGAGTACATGAAACTTGATTAGTAAACCATTAGTTGAGTTAGTGAACGCTTTGGATATCCTCCTAAGAATTAGAGCCGTAAATATTGGTACGTAAATTCCTTTGTATTGTTTCGCTTTTCAATATCGTGTTATATTTCTAAAGTACATCGAATCAGTTAGCGTTCTGTGATCTATTTTCAGTTCACCTTTTGTTTTATATGAAAAAAAAGAGAATAAAGTTAATGAATGCGACAACATGCGTTTATTCAGATTATCCAAACCAGTCACGAAGACTTAACAAGGTAGCCCAGGTAAATATTGTTGTTATCGCCAAGATAATTAGTTGACTCATAATTTTTTTATAGGCTTTTTCAAATTGAATTGCTGGCTCGTTACGATTTTTGATCTTTTTTTGAAAAATCAAAGAAGCAAGATTTCTCGTGAAGAAAAATTATAAGCTTAATTAATAAAAGCCTCTTTAGAGCAGGTGACCAAACCGGCTGCCATAAGATCACTGAACCGTTTCAACGTTTAAAAATTCACTCTTCGTAATGATAATCACACACATATACACAAAACAAAGCTCTGTCAGCTGTCGAAGTACAGCCGAGAACACCATGGTATCTACAAGAGCAATGGGTTGATATACCTGTTATTGACAAATTTCTTAAATTTGACGTACGCGAAAAGTCACTTACCAGTAAGACGGTGGGATAAAATCGAACGGAATTGAAGGACTTCCTAGATATTTTTCTCTGATGATGCCTGGCCTCAAAAGCTAAAGTCTATATGTTTTCTCGTAAAGAATTAAGACCCTAGGCGGTGGTCAGATATATTCGTGTTACCATTCAACTAAACGCATACTCTTGCAAAAGACAAAACATCAATAATGTCTAATGTGTCTCTGACTAGGTCTCACCAACAATTTGCCAACACATTTAGTAAATTACGTCATTTTAGTCAATAGAGGTATTCTTTATTGACACCCTGAAACGGCTTCATCTAATGTGTCTTTTGGAACAGATAAAATAAGAGATAAGGAAAAAAAACTCAAGATGAGAAATCCGGCAAACTTTGATTGGGAATACTGGCAAGAAGCTCGAAGAGTCTGAGTGACATCGCTTACAATTTGGAAAAGAAACAACAAATTACGGGAACCCAAACAACAATTTTTTAAAGCAAATGGAGGCAACTCAGAAAGAAAAGATAAAAATCGCTAATTAACAAATGGTAACAATCCTTTAAAAAAATTGAAAAGAGAAGGTCGCGAAAAATTCAGGTCAGATTGAAAGGGTTAGTATTTTCCTGCGTTTGACTTGGTAATTAGCAGGAAAATATGCCCTCATCGGTATCTTATGTTTTTTAGGCATGTGCGCTTGTATGTGGGCAATAAGCGGGGGTATCAATTTGCTGTTCCAGCGTTCGGGTTATTTTTGTTTGTTTTTGACGTCTCATTGTGTGTGTTTTCTTTCTGCCTTCTTTTGCGGACGTTTTCAATTCTACAATGTGGTTGCCTCTTCGGGCTGCTGGTCTCCAGGGATCTCGTGTTTTACACAACCTTGCAAGTTTTCTCTCGGATGTTGCGTTGGCTTGTAGAGCACCCCGAGTACTTCATCCAAGTATTTCTCTTCTTACTGAGATGGAAGTCTTGGGCCTGAGAACATGGCTTGACAGTTTTTCCTGCATCTCCATTTCACTTTGCTATTTATTTGTGTCATTTAATGAATGAGGCAAGACAGCATCTCCCTTAGAGTCAGCAGGTCATAACATTGCCTGGTTAGACCAGTTAGGTGGCGAGTATTCTTGCTGGTGCGCAGCGTTTGCTGGTCCATCACACATTAAAGAAAGAGCCCATCACAGCCTTTCAGTTAGTTGCCTGCAAGGCGCACTCGATGGCCTCTTTGTATAATATTGGTTTGGTTGTTATTTGCTTGCTGGCTTTTGCCACCTTTTTCAGATTTGATGAGCTTGCTAAGCTTGTTCGATCCGATGTTAAATATCGAAAATGACATGGTAAAGTTATTTATTCAATCAAAGTAAAACTGATCAGTATAGGGATGGAGCTTTGATTGTAGTTAGTAGCTTCCTCTGGGAAAGCAACTTGTCCGGTTGCTATAATGAATCGTTATTCAGAAAGAGCTGGGCTTTCCTGCGATAGTCTTTTGTTTTGCCACCTTGCTAAAACTAAATGTGGTTATATGCCTAATAATAAAGGTTTAAGCTATTTGCGGTCAAGATAATTGGTGCTAGAGGCTTTTAAAGATATTGTACCGGATATTTCTGCCATTGGTACGCATAGTCTTAGAGTGGCGGCGCTACTGCTGCTGCAAATGTTGACGTGCCAGACCGTCTTTTCAAGCGTCATGGCCGCTGGGCTGGTAAATCGGCTGAGGACGGGTATGTTCAAGATTCTTTATCTTCACGTTTGTCGGTTTCTAAGTTTTCTCGTGCGTACTGCTTTTTAATTTAATCTATCTCTTTAGTTGGTCTTGCCCGGGGAACTGTTGTATATGGGGTACAGCTAGCCTAGGGTTTTCCTCCTAGGTGCAAGTGGACGTACGGGGAGATTTTTCACCCAGCCGTTGTTCCACGACCTCATGTCAGTTAGCTTGCGGTTCAGATCTTTGGAGCTGAGTGTTACATGGATTGTATTTTTTTGTTTAGTTGTACTTATATATTACTTTTCTATGATACGTTATATATCCTGTAGTCTTTTCGGATTACAAACAGAGCGCTTGGCTTGAAGCGAGCCGCACCCAAGGGTTGTGCGTATTCTTTTGTTGGGTCAAACTGAGAATCAGAGGAGAGTTGAAAAAAAAAAAAACGTAAACGAAATGTGTTTAACTTTTTCCGAAAGCAATCTGCTTTGTATCATTCGGTCTAATTTTGTACATGAACACCACGTATCGCCTTTTAGTGTTTATTTGAACTACTTCTGTTATTAAGTTTATAAAATCCATTAGTATTCAATGATCATTGACTTTCCAATTGTTGAAATTTCCTCCTTGAAATTGCTTGTTATTATTTATTACAATGTAGAAAGAGGAGCATGACACATTATCGCCTTGACCTATTTTTCTTTTCTTTTACTGCGGATGTACACTTGGAGAAGTGGAATAACCTCGCCACATTATAAAGGCACAACTACTTGTTCCGGGAAATCAGCGAAGAAACGGGTCGAAGAATGAATTGTAGGTATCGATTCCTAAAAACCTTTGCCATTGAAGATGCTACAACAGCCTTTTTTCCTTTTCAAGAGTAAAGAGTGAAAAGTAATCCTTTAGTTATCAGATTGGTCTAAACCTTTTCAAGGACTTTCAAAATTTGCACCCTCTATATCAATCGGGCATGTGCAGCACTACACCATGCCACGACGTAGACGTCTGTTCCTGTTGACTTTCCTCTTGGCCATAAAACACCATTTACAACCTGGGTTGTTAGAGTCAACTCTTCTTGAAATGTTTTGATTTGTGGTGAGAATGAACTTTTTTTCTCTTGTTATTTTTTCCAGACGGTCCATTCTGGTGGTGGTCACTTTTCTTACTTGATGTTCCTCTTCTTCTTCTAAATTTCTTGTGTGATTTTTGCTGATGTTTGGGAGTGGTTCTGTGCATGTAAACAGTTGAAGAAAGTCTCATTGACAGTTACAATGCAGTTCTAGACTGCTTCTCCCTTTGTGTTGTTCTTTAACCCTTTAACTCCCAAGATCTCATTGGTAATTCTCCTTACTGTCTGTCAAATGATTCTAATCATGTTAGTTTGGAGAATTTGGTATTGGATCAATTAGTAATCTCATAATTGATATTTTCCTTTTAATCTCATCACTTGCCCACATGATATTGTATAGATATTGTAAGGAGAAATTCTGTCTTGGTCACTCATGGGAGTTAAAGGGTTAAATACATGTATGTACTTAAAAATCAGTAGAAAACATTGATATAAAATGACATAATGAAGTTCAGCTTGACAAACTTAACAACGTCTGCCATGAGTGACCAAAACAAATTTTCTCCTAACAATACCAATACATTATCCTGCAGACATGTGATGAGAATAAAGAAAATAATCAATTAGGGGATTATCGGTTGATCCAATACTAAATTCTCCAAACTCCCATCATAAGAACTGCATTGCTTACAGTAAGAAGAATTCCTACTGAGATCTTGGCAGTGAAAGGGTTAAGCTCATGTGGAGTTCCTTTTTTGGGGTAAGTAGAGGGGAAAGATTACTTTTCTGATGTGGAAATCAAGTAATGAGGCCTTGTTACACCTCTCCCAACTTGGGAAGACACAAGATATAAATACAAATAAGTTAAACTTACTTTTCTGTCATTTTATCAAAGGTTTCATTCTGTTTCTCTAAAGGTGAAGTATGAAGTTGTGATGTTTCTGTTTCCATCAACCCCTTTAAAAGAAAAAGAAAAAAAATGCTAATTGTGATTAATTTAAAATCTAATTGGAATGTAGGGTAGAAGTTAAAAAATGATGACTAACTGAAGGTTCTAGACTGTGATGCACCAACAAAATCGTGGTGACCAAGAATTATTGATTATTATTAATTATTATTATTATAAAGGGGGTAAGTTTTTAGAGAAATTGTGGTGTGGCATCAGTGGGGGTACTACAAGATAATTTGGTTTTATCAACTTACTTTATAATGCAAATTGGCCACCATAAAGATTTTCTTTATAAGCTAAATAATGACGTATAATCAATTACAATGGACGAGAGACCCAACTGTACTTTGGACATTGATTAATATGTTAGTATCTATCATTTACTTTATTAGGTCCAATACATGTAAATTTTCCACCATCCAAGTTCACATCACTGATTGTGGTAACTGTGACAACTTGCTCAGGATGTTCATAAGTTGCATCAACTGTTGAAGGTGCCTCCTCCTCCTCATTCTCATCATCTGATTCCAGAGCCTCTGAAATAAGTAACTAATAGTTTATGATTCCAAATTATATTTCATTTTGCCAAAATAAATGGATTACCTGCACCCACCATTTTCAGCTACTTGTTGTCGAGCTTCTGATCAAATATGTAACCAATCCACTACAAAGAGATCACTAGGGTGATGAAGACTGTGAGGTATGGTCAAAAGCTATGTTTTGTTTCAAAATTTCAGACCTTGTAACAAGAATTATTATTACTTAAATAATATTTTTTAAGGTGGTAGCCTACTGACCCATAACTACCATAGTTTATCTCAATGTCTGTCGCATAAAGTGACCAGATGTATAACTACTCTCCCTAAATGAAGTGCCAGTCCATCCAAGGTTACCTTTCAAAAATTCTCAGACATTCCCTGAAAGTTACTGCCTATTAGTGCTGATTAATAGACTGGCTGGAGAGTGTCTTTGTGAATTTGAAGTCACTGATAACTGCATATAGCATAAAAAGTCTTCAAATCCCATTTCTAAAATTCTTACCTAATTCTTTTCTGTGTTTTTCCATTTGTTCAATCAAGCTCTTCTTTTTCTAGACAAGGAGATAAATACACTTTTAGAGCTTACAACAGTTTTCCGTCTTACCTCTAGGGTAGTTGAGGATATAAATTATCCTTTTAGCTTCTGTACACTTTTAGTCAGTTGGTTCTGAGAATTGAAAAATAATCTATTTTGGGATATTGCCCTCCAAGAGAAACAAATAATATCAGGACAGGCCAATGAAGAAATGCCTATAGTCATCAGTCAGGAAAATCAACCCTCAATTCAAATTTCATGGGGCATTCTACAGAGGCCACCAAAGTTACCTAGTACACTTTTGTTAGTCAGACACAGTTCAGGACAACCAAAGCTTTTGCAACAAACTAACCTCTTGTTTAAGCTCTTTTCTTCTTTCCTTTTCCTGCTTAGTCAATTCTTCCATGGCCTTCTTCCTTCTTTCATTTTTCCTCTTGTGAAAACCAAGAAGATACTCCCTACAGATTGAGAATGAAAATAAGATAAAATACTGACCATGTTCTGAAATCTTCCACGGCTGTTGGAACTTCAATAGTGTTTGCAAGGTGTCATATTTTTTAATCTTGGGTAATACATGTAATCATACAAATAAGGATTGTGTTGTTATTTAAAGCTGTAAGTTCTGTGCAAGGTATGATAGCATTTGTTGTGCTAATTGGTAAAACATGCTTTTTTTTTACTCAGCTGTGCTTTACTTTCTGTTCTAATGAAACATCATTACAAGTAAAAACACCAAGGTATGAAAACATTAATCATTCCTATGCCTGACCAAGACAGAATTTCTCCCTACAATACAAAGCCAACAAATGATGAGAATAAAGAGAAATATTAATTAGGGGATTAATGGTTGACCCAATATCAAATTCTTCAAACTGACATCGTAGGAATTATATGACAGACTGTAAGGATAGTTATTAATGAGATATTGGGGTTGAAAGGGTTAGGATGATTTAAACGTGTGAAACTGTAAATGAAAATATTCAAGTTTAAATAAAATAATCAGTAGACCTAGAGGGGTTGTTCACTGACTACTTAGTATAACACTTCACTACACGTGACAACGACACAAAATTATGGCCCAAACGCCTTGTTTCTGTGCGGTTTTGTACTTTAAGCACTTCCTGAAAATTTAATCAGCTGAGTAGGTATGAAAGCCGATTTTCTCCTTACAACAAAAAACGATAAAATGAAACACGTGCCAAAACTAAACTACAGCATGAGCAGTAATTAAAGGTTCTTAAATTACTTTTTGGTCGATTAAGAGACGAATTAGTGAGTACTTAGGGTCAAGGAGAGTTAATAATCAGGATCACTCAGCCAATATTCTAAATACCTTCGAGAATTTTCATCGAATACAAGGACCTTCTTCTCTTTCCTGTGTTTCTTCTTCTTCGCCGCCATATTGAAAAGACTACCACTGGTAACGTTTTCGAATATTGCAGGCGTCAGTAGGACGGTCGTTCCCAGTTTCTCTACCTCTGGGGCGCGAAACTCAAATCAAAATGGCGGATTTAAACGTAAACATACTTTCCCGGTTTACAAAGCTCCCAGACAGGAATCAAGCGACTGTTTTGGTAAGCTATATGGATCTTACTTGAATATTTATTTTTACTTCCCTGCTTTCGTATGCTTTGAAACGTTCAATTAGCAAATGAACATGCTCTTTTCGACTTTTTACAAACAGTTTGTTGGGGTGAAGGGTGTCGGAAAGCACCGACTAGCAAGATCTATGCTTGGTATTCATGCGGATTTCTCGGTTCAGATGTAGGTTGAGTCTTTCCTTCTCTTCTTGTTCAAGTAAAAGTTCTGTGAATTAATTAACTAGTGTATATTCTTTACATGCAAAAAACAGTAATGGAGCAGTAATTTTATTTCACAGTCGAGTTGCAACAAGTCTTCCTTTGCCTGAAGATGCTGAAAATAAAAGACCCAGAATCGATTTCGTTGTGCTGTTTATTGATCTAACTAATACTCTGAGGTAATTATGAGAGAAATTTTAAAACTAGCTCAGACCAGTTCTGTTTTCTCTTAGATTTTCAGGCAACTCTGAGCCTAATTTATAGTAACAACGATTTGTTTCTTCTCCACAAGCTTGGAGACAATAAGATCATCCGTGAAGCATCTAGACATTGATTACTTCCTGGGACACTGTTGCTTTGTTGTGACACAAGGTAAGCTTATATTTACCAAGAACTTCTGTTTAAGGCAAAAAACAGGCAGGCATTACTTAGCTTATGCGTTGATCAATTAGAATCTTCAACATCCCCCCCCCCCCCGGGCAACCCCCTGCGTTCAAATTCCTGCGCCTTGGGGCAAAAATTGTGTTCAAATTCCCACCCAGGTTCTGGATTTAATCAAAAATTTTTTTGTGAAAGGCAAGAACAGCAACCCTGACCAATTCTTGTCAACCCTTTCTCCTAAGCCATCTGCTTTCTGCTTGTGAAAGTGAATTTTTTACCTTAAAACACCCCCATATCAAAAGTGAAAACACATCCATTCAGCTGGGAAGACTTGCCAAATCTGCTTCAAATTGCCCACCCCAGTCAGGCAAGGTTCAAATTCTCTACCCCCCAGGCATGGATGACAGACAAATAACTATGGGTTGCCCTGAAGGGAGGATGTTGAAGCTTCAAATTGAGTGGCACATTACTGGGAATGAAACATTTTTGTAATTTTTTATACAATTTTGCACAGGTCTTTTATAATTTGTAACTTCAGTAAATGTGGGGGGGGGGGGGGGGGGGGGGGGGGGGGGGGTGGGGATGGAGGTGGGGTAAAGACATGGTGCAGAATTGAACATCTCCAGCATCTCTGATAACTTCTTGCTTTTCAGCTAAAAATGAAGCCTTGCATGCATTCAGTATCCAGGAGGTAACAAGTCTTGCAGACAGTTATGACTCACCTTTAATTTGTGCTGACATGGAGGTGAGCGTTAAAAAGGAATTTTTAATAACACAGCACACTGGGATGCAAACAGATGAAACTTATTTGTGCATGCTATATGTAAAACAATATCTTTTAAACCACATAAAATAATTAATTGAAAGTGAGTCGAAAATTATTCATCTGCCCAAGCCATCGAGTATGCGTTCATCAACTCCAGAGTAGGTAGCCTGCAAACCAAAAACTTTGAGAAAAATTGATGTAAATGTGCTATTTGAAGAACCAGTAAGGAAAACTCAATTAACTCTTTAAACCTAAGAGTGACTAGGGTGTGATTTCTCCTTACAATAATACAGCTGAATCATTCATTAAGATCATGAGAATAAAAGAATTATGATTGCCAACATTAAAAGCATTGATTGTTAAGCGAATTCTCCTTGTCAGTGACATTTTTGTCACTTTTTGTTTTGAAAATGTTTCTTGATTTAACCCCTTTCACTCCCAAGATCTCAATTTCTTTCTCGATTTCTGTCTACCTTTAAATTCTTATATTAGTCTGGAGAATTTGGTATTAGATCAAGTAATTATCCCCTAATTTAAATTGTCTTTATTCTTATCACTTTTCTACTTGATATTGTATTGTAAGGAGAAATTCTGTCATGGTCATTCGAGGGAGTTTGAGGGTTAAAGCTCTGTTGCTCATTTTCTGATTGATATTTAAGTCCATTAGAAGAAAATTTTATAGTCATATGACTCTGATCATGATTATTTCACTGTCAAAGTATCAGTCCTTGAGAACAATATTTTTCAGGACTACCTTACCTTCAAACATCATCTTTTATTTTGCCCTCCAAATGTAGAAAGAGGAAGACAGGAAATTCTTGTCAAGAAAACTTCTTCACCTTCTTGAAGTATCATGTGGATTTTCTGCTGATGTAACAACATTATTACTGGACACAACAAGGAAATCATTTGTGTTTGAGGATGAACTAAATGACACAATGGAGTAATTTTGCCAAAAAAAAAAGGGAAAAAAAACTGACGTGTTGTTCACCAACTTCCAGCCGACTGTAGCTAAATGCCTGTAAGACTGTAATAGATTAGAAATGCAGGCTACATATACTGTCTGCTCTGCTTTATTGTGAAATTCAGAACAATGTAACACAAGAAACTTTATTTAATGGTGTGTCATTGCCTTCTGAGGGAAAAAACAATCCAATAGAAGTGAGCATGAAACTGATCTACAGACAACCATGATAGCTATTTTCAGAAGTTTCAACTAAAGCCAGTTTCTGGTGGTCAACTGAACCCTGTAAGACCTGTCACCACTGTCTCTTTTGTTGGGGTTTTGCCTTACATTAAATCAATCTGTTCACAATAAAATTGGCTTGAGCAATACCAGTTAGTTATTAAATTTCCTTCCATCCACCATTAAATTGCAAAAAAAAAACATGTTTGAGGCAAGCCAAAAGTGGTGAAAGTAAACCCCATTGCTTTAGGAGCTACAATGTATTACATAGTATTCTATATCCACTTTTAACACTAAAGAAAATGTACACCTCAAATAAATATCAAGTCTTGGTAAATAACAATTTTTTATTCTAATTTTTTTAACTTTGTACAACATTGCTACCTAAAAATATATTAGTTAAAAATTGAAAGAGATAATACAGCAATAGAGCAAGGTATCAACTGTACAAAATGCACAATATTTCTGTAACTGTTTCGTGGTTTTGAGAGAGTTGAACATTAATTGAAATATTGTTTTAGATGACATCATGGTGGAGGTAAGTGATCTTCTAAAATAGAAGAAAAATCACTGGCAAGTAGAAGGTAAAACCATCATTCCATTGTTTGAGAGGAAAATTTGGAGTTTTTATGCTGCATTCCACAGAGGTTATTTATCAGCTTTTTATGATTTTTGCTGGGAGTCTTACAACAGCTTTGCTGAGTAGACTTAAAGGAATGCTAGTGAGTGGATTTCGCTTGCCCATTTTTTCTTGCATTTTTATTTTTAACTTGTTTATTCATACTTGCAACCTGCATCACTATCTTTCCAGAGGGAAGGTCATGTATTTTAAGAAAGGAGTGAGGTTGTACTTTTTTTGGCCGCCCTCTTAAAAATTTTCTGAATTCCCTTCTAGTCAGAGTTAGCAAAAACAGTAAATCAGAATGGTGAATTCATTCCTAACTTTGTACCAAACTTTAACTTGGCTCTCCTCTGAAACCGGACACTTTCCCTACAAAGACAAAAAGAGAAAAATATGGCATATGAAATCAGATTCAAAATATCTAAAAAAGGGTAAAGCACCACCATCCTAGTGACTGTAGCATCCTTACAGAAAGACTAGGCTGGAGATGCTAGAGTTAATTCTAAATTCTAACCATCACATGTTATTAACCCTTTAACTCCCATGAGTGACCAAGACAGAATTTCTCCTTACAATATCAATACCATATCAAGCAGACAAGTGATGAGAATAAAGAAAATATCAATAAGGGGATTATAAGTAGATCCACTACCAAATTCTTTAAACTAACATCACAAGAACTGTATAGCAGACAGTAAGGAGAATTAGTAATGAGATCTTGGGATTTACAGGGTTAACATAAAGTTGGTAGTGCCCATAGGCTATATATAAATCCTTTACTGACCAAGCTTGTTCAATCAAGATAGCTGGATATTAGCCTTGTTATACTTTGGCATTATGATGACTCGACTTCGCCACGGTCCATAAAAAGTAAAAAATATCCAGCCATCTTGATGTCACACTTGGTCAATAATTGTACTGGATAGTCCTGTTAGCAAATGTTGGTGAATAAAAGAATTCACAATAAAAAAAGGTGTGTTTCTTCATCTTGGTTAAGTAGAGTTAAGAATAGAGAGGTATTGAGTGCTTATTTCTTGTCATTATCAGGCAATATTAGAAAAAAACTGTTTTTGTATCGGAACACTTTGAGACACACAAACAAAAGTCCCTCATCCCAACAAACAATATTTTTTTAAACTGCACAAAAATTAATTTGGATGCTGCCATGAAGACATAGAAAAAGGTCTTACTTAATGTATCGCCTCTTTAATAGCTCACAAATTGCTAGAGCTACAATTGGCCAAAGAAAGATGATGATCATTGATGGCACTGGAACATCAGTCAGGTGAAACACCAAGGGGGCATGTCGACTCCATCCAACTTGGGACAATGTAAAGTAGATTACCTGGAGTATTAAACTGTTGGTCAAAAAACACAAGCCTGAGATTCATTCAAAGGTGAAGTATCCCTCTAAAACCATATACTTTTTATCTGCCCAATTAAAATTTTTTTTTGAGATCCCAAACATTAACTGAACCGTTGAAACTTGTCTTCAAATTTGCTAAAAATTAGACCAAAGATGCTACCATTTTAAATCTTCCTTACCAACCTGGCCACTTTCCGATGGTATAATTATTGGTAAGTCATACTACTTTTTATTCCATTCCTTAGAATCTCTTTTTTTGTTTGTTTGTTGTTGTTGTTGTTGTTTTTTTTTTGCAACAACCATTGCATTGCAGTGCATGTGAGTGAATTGCTTATGAAGATTGCCACTGCACCTGTGGCTATGTTACAAAGGTCAATTTTTTGCCCCTTTTGAAGACAATTTTTGAAAGGTTAGATTTTCTGTGGTCAATTGTTACAAATACTTTTGAATGGCTGAAAAAAATAACATACAGTTTGTGGAATACTCCATTCAGAGTTTCTTGTCAAAAATATCATGTTTGAGACTGGCATGCACACTTAAGAAACCCTGACTTTAAATGACAAACTTTCTGCCTAATAGGGAAGTGTTTTTTACCAATTTTCTACTCAAGAATAGGCTTCACATTCAATCCCCCCCTTTTTGACTGATCTCCCACCATGTCATAATGGGTAGTTTTTATCACAAATAGTCAATTTGTGTAAGTTATAACAATAAGATCAGATTTTGTTCATTGTGATGAATGCCTCATTGGTTATTGTTCACACAGTACTCTAAGACAGCACAAATATTTGATAAAACTAATACAAAAACTTGAAGGACGTACATAACCACAGCGGAAATAATCCATGATCTATTCATAAATGGTGATTTCCTCCACAGCAAATGAAGACGATGTACGTAACTTGAAGACATGAACACTAAAATGGAGACATACAAATAATATTGTCAAAGTACTAAAGACTAACAGAGGTAAGACCTTACAATTGACAATCTAGGCTTGTTACTTTGTGTGGGAAAGCAAGCTGAATTTTTGCAGTAAACAGAAAGTTTTAATCTCATGCCACCCTCCAAGTACAAATCTTGCATGGTGAAGTTCTAAATTCAATTCACTTGAGTTAGAATGCATTCCAACAGCCAAGAGTGATGTTCCATGAGAGCTTTAGTTGGCAAACTATTTTGATGATGCCTTTCAAACTATTCTTGAGCTATTGAATTGCTAAATCAGGGAGAATTACATGTACATATCTTTTAGGAAAAAAATTATTGTCAAATATTATTAAAAGTGAAACTCTGAAAACTGAGGACACCTCTTCTTTGATTTTAGCAGATCAATTTTTCACGAACCAGTTGCAATAAAGTTCAAGACATGGGAACAAACCCTCAAAACCACAAAAAATTTTTACCATTGCTTTTGCTGTTTAGTTTGAGGTTTTCCTTGAAATAAAATAATACTCTTTACATTGGGTGTTCATGACTTTTTGAGTTTCACACGAGGGTAACTATGCTTCACCCTATGTTATTGACTGATAAAATATGTGAAGAAGTAGAATTAAATATGGCAACTGTAGGTTATTATGATTGCAGTGAGATTTTGGAAGGTGCTTCCCCATGATCTGATTTGTACCTTATACTTGGTCTATATATGTTCCTGAAAACCTACCAAAAATTAGAACTAGAAAAAATACATTGATGTCCTGAGCCATGGCTAATGCTTGAATATGACTTTCCCCCAGGCCATTCCACAGTTCTGCAGTGTTCCTATTCAAGTGGGAAAACGAGGTAAAAAAGGTCAAATGGGAAAAAAATTGAGCAACTTGACAAATTCTTCCTCTTTTTCAAAGTTTCTGAAAAAGATATTTCTTTTCTTTTTATTTCTTACAGCTGCAGCTAAGGCCGTCGCAGAAGGAACAAGTAAGTTTATAAGATAAGTTTAAGAAATCGCACTCTCTTGATGAGATGAGCTGCCCAATCGCTTTTTTTTTTAGTTTTTTGCTCGAATATTTTAGGCTCTTTGGATTTTGTATATTATTCACTAGTGTTTGAAGGGGAGACCACCACTTGTTGTTCCAAACCCTTGTCATTAACTGAATCCCTTTCGATCGAAAGATCGAAAAAAATTATCAACTCTCTCTGTGGAAATTTGAATTGTACTTTAACACCTGTTACTTCAATTATACCTTTTCAGAAATTTGCATAATAATTTTTTGGTAAGAAGAACATTCCATGATTGGTAGAAAAAAAATTGAAATAATTGGAACAATCTGATTAACATTCTAAGCAAACCAATGGATTTTATGTGACTGTACAGCTGGTTTGAGTGTGAATCAGCCAAAAGTGAGTAAACATGGTGACTTTACCTAAATCCAAGCAGGTAGTGACAGTTAGAAGATTTCTTGTTCAGAGAGAAGCAAATTCCACGAAGATTTAAAGGGAACAGGATAAGGCAGCAGATACAAAGCGAAGGAAAGAAACAAACACTGAAGAAAAAACACACTGTATGGGTAATCTCCTACAAAGGAAAAAAATAATTTTCAATATTTAGCTGTAGGAAAATTGAACAAATAAAAACAGTAACTTAAAATTTTACTGAAAAACACAATTTTTGTCACAAAAATTGTTTGATCAATACTGCACTGGGGTGAGGGGGAGCAGAATTCACTAGCAGCAAAATTTTTCAGTCCTTACATTCAATGTTGTTGGTTAGCTGAAAAAGCCATGCATTCAATGCAGAATTAAGACAACAAAACTCCTCACTATCTGAGATATCACAACCTTACTCTACACACTACAACACTAAGCAATCAACTGTAATTAAAAGTTACCTTGAAGTTTTTGTCATTTTTTCCTGTCATCATTGTCATAAGATTTGGATCAGATGGGGAGCCAATTAATGACAGACTCAGCAGGGGTACTATAAGGCATGACAACCATAGGAGATGAAGCCCTGTCAGGGGAGGTGGAAGGAGAACACATGATGACAGAAGCATCATGGCAGAAAGGACTAACTGACATGATAGCATGAAGGAGAAACAGTTTTTGAGTCCAAAGCAAATACGACGTGCCTGAGAAAAAAGAGTAGAAAGGTATTCATTACTTTGCTTTCATTTCTCTAAAAAAGAAAGGTTCTTTTTGTTTCTTTCAGATCGAAATAATTGCAAGGAAAGCAGTAAGTAATGTGGTGTTTTTTGTACATAGCTTATCAAAACAAAAAAAAACTAAATGAAAAGAAAAAAGGGAGTTAAACTTCAAGCCCTTTATTTTTATAGTCCAGACCTCACCTCTTTAATCAAATTCAAAAATTTAAAACTTGCATCTCTGTGGAATGCCAAGGAACATGGTAGGGCATTTAGGAAAGCGCTCAGTTCAAGTGGGGACAGCTCTGGGGAACAAACCAAAATGTTAAATATCAGAGGGTATTTTAAACATATTAAATAGTCCATCACAGGACAGGGGGGTGGGGGGGGGGGGAAAAGAGGGATTTCTGAAGTTGTCCTGGAGAAAGTCACTGTCAGTGACAATTTCATAAAACTACCACTGCAGCTGTTTTATTACTGTTTTAAGACTAACCCTCCCTTCCCCCCCCCCCCCCCCCCCCCCCCCCCCGATATTCCTGCATACATGCTGGTGTTCACATGAAGTTTCAAATTTTACGTAAACATATAACTACTGGTACCAAATCAGCTGATTTTGAAAGAAATGATTATTAGACCAAAGTGTAAAATTTCAGACAGAGATTTTACTCAGCAATTTACAACAGACTCATATTGTCATGATTGAATTAGCTGCCTTCAAACTACTTTGCTCACCATTTTCAACCTCAATGGATTGTTCATCGCTGAACCTTCTACGTAGTTTTTCTCTGGTGTTTTCTTGTCCAAGCTGTGGTGTTCCTGATCTGAAGTCTTTTGGCAAACCTTTCAAACACAGTTGGGGAAAGAGGGGTTCCACTGCAATGCTAAAAAAATGAAATGAAATGCCATTTAAGGTCTTTTTTTTCCAGTCTGATTACATTTACTCAAGAAAAAGTAAACTTGGTGAACAAGCTAATTCAGTCAACTGTAAGAATTTTTAAGACATAAAACTCACCCTATATCTGCCTGAATAAATATGGCAGGATTAGCAGAATTAAATGAACTTCCTACACAACAGACCACCTCTCCATAATCTTGCATTATCGCAATCATCTCCTTAACAGCTGTCAATAAATAGAAGTATCAAATTTCAACAAATGCTGAGAAGCAATTGATTGCTAAAACCACAACAACAAAACAAAACACAAAATTTGGTCCACAATTTAAGTGTTTCCTCCAACAAGGTGGAAGTAAGCTCTTTCACCACTGTCAAAAAGTGCCTGCCTTTACCTGATGGAGTACAATCAGTGAAGAGGGGAACAAGAAGAGGAACATTATCAACACTCTCCAGATGAGGCCTGATGTTTTGGATCCCTCTGGGAAGTTTAGCCTGACATTGAGAAGCGAAAAATAAATTAAAATAACTGCAAGTTATAAAAGAGAGAAGTGAGAAATTTGCTATTAAATTAATCAAACAATACAATGATATGGTTAGTTTGATAAACAAAACTGTTTATCTAGTATGTAATGGGAAGGGACAGTTGAAGATTCAGTCAGTGGAGAAGGGGTCAAATTTAAATGTTTGATCTTTCCCAAGAGAAACAAATTAGTGACAAATATTGCCTGCTATCACTACAAATTTTACATAGCTAGAAAACAAAAATGAAATGGATAACTTCTAAGTACCAGTAATACTATGCAGTATCACAATGAAACCGCAAATGTGATCTTTAATTTTAAATTCTGTACTAACACAATAGTTCAAGATCTGTAAACTCTTATTACTGTTTAAAAACAAACAAACAAAAATTCTACACTGTTTGAAGTGTTACCCTGTTAGAAAAAAACCAATAATCCTCAGGTGCTGATATCTGACTGCTGCCCAGTAAAGTGCCACCATCACTTTGACTTTCTAATAGAGGGTCCATTTCAATGGCTTCAACTTTATTTGAGACTATAAGAACAAGCAAGAACATAAAATCAACTCCAATTACCCCATGCTTAACACAACAAAGGTGTCTCTTCATGTCCCACTTTAGCTGGCCTAGAAAACATGGTTGTTTAAGGCAGGAAGGAAGGAAGGCAGAAAGGCAAAAAAGGGAGAGAGAGAGATGGATAGATAACATCTGGTTATGATCAGGGTGACCTTGACCACATTACAGACTGAGGCACATGATTGAATTGGATGGTGGAAAGTTGCCTTCATGATTGTTAAGTTACATCACTCTCAATTATTTTCAAGACCCTTGATCCGGCTTGGATACAGAGGGTAACTTCATCCTGACCAATGCTTTTAAATTGATTCCTTGATCAATCAGTAGCACCTCAATAGCCAGGACTGACTTGACATAAACTTTCTTCTTGGAAGCAAATAACATCCACGACAAGCTTCTGCAGTCCAGGAGCATCAGTCAAGGGCCAATCACAAGATAGACTGGAAATGGTTCAAAATACTTGATGAAGAGCCCACAGACATCAAAAGGAAAATTAATGAAGCTATTCACATCACGTGGTGACGTTCAATGTTATAAAATAGACCAGCCATTTTTTATTTTTGACCACTTGTTGACTAGTGACAAAACAAACATCACTTACGTAGCTGGTAAAGATCACAAAAGTTAAAAGTTAAAAGCTTCATTTTGTTTCAATATTTCAGACCTTGTGACAAGAATTAATTCATTGTTATTCAGAATAATTATTGTTACCCATCTTCCACCCCCCCCCCCCCAACTTACAAAAAAACATTTTGTCCCATTACTTTTTTCAGCAGATTCAGTGTGGACCCTTTTCCAGCTGACATGTTTCTCATCACCATCCTGCCCAGAAACATTTGCATCATCCTGGATGTCATAAAGACTCTCAGTATTCCTGTCTGACACTGTTGCACTGCTTCCGCGGTCGTCCAAGAGATGGCCACCCTCTCTGAGAGAGATGTGACAGTTCCATCCAGTTTCAAGGCCCATCCTCTCTGCAAATACCTAGAAGAAATCACTCAGATTTTAAGAAACTTGCCCACAAGTAGATGAAATATACAATTAAATTCAAATTCAATTGGATTCAGCACTTGCACATCATTTTAAGGGCTCTCCATGCAACACTTCAAGTTTGAGCAACATGGAGAAACATGCAGAGAAACCTTAAGAGATGAAAACGAACCAATAGCAAATTTATCCCAGCAGTCACGTTGGAGAATCAAACCCAGGGTACAAAGGGATGAAAGTGCTCTTGGCTCTTTGCAATTCATCATCATTGTTCTAACCTACCTGATTTACTAGAAGAATAGAAAGACTCTCAGCCCTAGGGCAGCGATGCACTTTTTGTCAAATGCATGTGAAAATAAATGTTTCAATGAAACTAATACAAAATTCCATACCCTGCTTCTTAATTCATTTTCAGCTGAAAAATAAACAAATCGGATTCCAGCATTGTCTAGGTCTTCGATGAGGGGAAGAATATCCTACAACAAAAAAGTTTAAATTTAGTAAGAAGAGTGGAAGGCAGATGATATGCACCATAACCAAATCTAGAATTGCTTAAAACAATTTCATACACTTTGTAATCTTTTGAGCAAAAATGACAATGTCATTGCAAACCTTCTTGGCTTGGAACTGTAATGTCACCACTCCAATGAAAACTTGTCCCCCAAGTATTCTGTTTACAAATCAACAAATTTTATGTAAGCACTAATAAAAGTTAATTGACATGATAATCTGCTGAAAAACTGACAGAAGTGTAGAATAGTCAAACCAACCTTTGATAGCTCTCTGCATTTTCAGCAATGTTAACTCTTTCCAATAAAGATGCTGCTTCCACATCAGTTTCAAGGAGCTCAATGCAGTTCTAAAGTTTATAAACAGAGATAGAGGTATTTTCAGAGACCTTTAAACCATTTCTTATTTACTAGACACCCATGATCATAACACCTTGTGCCATTCTCTTTTTCAGTGTAATTATTGTTGAAAGAGGCCTTCTGAAAACAGAGAATTCCACCTTGTTCATACAACTCAACAACAGAATCACTTAGTGATGGATGCTTTGTTTCAGATTGCATAATGGCTACATTCTGCATTTTTGAAAGATAAAAATGTTGATATGGTTTCATCTTAAATTCTTTAAAGTTTTCCATGACATCACATGGGAGACTGCATGAATAAGTGTTCAAGTGATGCACTCATGAATTAGGAAAATAATTTCACATGTATTTTGTCACAAGTTTCATAATTTCTCTCTCCTGAAGGCTTGGAAAATTACAAAAAAAGTTGACATGACATCTATGAAACTACCTTTGAATTTTAATTGTTTCATTTGATATCACATGCTAATAAACTCTCACACATGTAAACTTGAGGCTGCCTAATTAAATTAGCCCCTACCCTACCAAATTTACAAGAGCTTTAATCTAATATGAAAAGCAATTCTGGTACAGGTACATGTATGGTAAATTGATTCAGACTGCAGAGTCTTTGCTATCTTTGGCTAGCTAGCTGGTTTGAAATAAATACAGCAGAGTTAAGGCTACTTACGAAAGCACTATCCATGTCTGAGTTTTCAGATTCCGCCTCTGAAATTTCAGAGGCACTGAAAAGAAATTATAGGAAATTTAAATATATATATAAAATATATAAGTGTATAAAAATGAACCCTTTGTCCTGCTTACTATACTTGGAGTACTTCATCTTACAATCTCAGCTTGCTTTTAATTGTAATGAAGACAACCATTTTTCAAGAATTCCATTCTGGTGTGTCACTGTTTACAAAACAATCATAGTTTGGTGAATAAACAAACAAACTGAATACCACTCTGGTGTGTCACTTTTTACAAAACAATCATAGTCTGGTGAATAAACAAACAAACTTACCTTTCCATTTCATCACTCTCATTACAAATCCACTGAGTTGTAGAGGGAAGCTCTAAATATACATCTTCGCTCTTTTCATCTGGTATCTGCTAGAATAAGTTAGGAAAATTTAATGAGTGAAGCTTTCAAAGAGCTACTAGGTAACATTCACATTGATTATGGAAAGGAGTGGACTACATGCTTTCAAGGAATGATAGTACATTTGATTATAGTCTGCACTCACAATCATTAATTACTTCCAATTTGCATCAACAAATATTTAAACACATTTATGGAGCAAATTAAAGATCATTAAAGTATATATATATATTGAGAAAGAGTTCTAGTCAAACTGTTTTTCAGTATTGAAATTTCTGTTCAAGATGTTTTCCATGTAACACTTCCCTCTTAATTAATTTTATTTTCTTGCCATAATTAAATAAAAGTGAAATGTTGAAATTTATCACGACTCCCTACCTCAGTGACTGGACGATAAGAAAATGCAACACAGTATGCTGACATGCTGTTCCTCTGATAAAAGTCAAGTACTTTCTTTCTGAGGTCAAGAAATAAACACATCTGTGATATCATTATCTCATACCTATCCAGTAATTATGAT